GCACGGGGAAGAGTGGTGCCTGTGCGATGCAGTGGAGCAAGCAGGTTTGCGGATCTGCGCGTAAAGCGAATGTCGAGTTGGACTGCTGGTATGTCCTTGGGCCCCCACGGCGCCGCATCAATCACGACCCAGGGCTTAAGTTCTCACTCAACTATTTTGCGGGCTGCCGCGAGAGCAGTAAGCCACAGACACGATAGCGAGGATGTTGGTGTTTGCTGGACGCGGATTAGATGTTTGCTTTTTCACCGACGGCCAGGAGAGATCCGGCTGCGATGAAGACCACTTTGGTGAGGCATTCTCCTCGTAGGGCCGAGGAAGAGTCGCGTTGACGCTGAGATTCCCGTGGGGGTTTGCGCGCGGTCGTGGGCGAATTGCAAATAACCCATCCAGCTGATGCCTCGACCTTATTTGCGATGATGATGATGACGACGACGATGATGGAGCCGTTGGGCTTCAACGCGTGTCCCGTGTTCTATAAACGGCGCGTCAGCAGAGGTCGCCGTAGGGTGCCACGTGGTGCCGCGGCGAGTTGAACGCCCTCTGTTTGTTATCGCTCGCGCCGAGAGTTATGGGACAATGGGTGCTGCTCTATGTGTGTGTGTCGCTGTGTGTGTGTGTCGCTGTGTGTGTGTGGGGAGCGGTGGTGTGGCGGATAGCGCGCTGCGCTACGAACCTGGCGACCCGAGTTTGATTCCCGCTCATGGACAAAACCGGTGACGATTATCTGAACCGGTCCTGGGCCTCGACTCAGCCTCAAATGAGTACCTGCTGAGGTGTGTTAACATCGCCACTAGAGAGACAAAGGCGGTCGGGCGTGGTCCTGGCCACCCACCCCCTCGTGTACCGTGTCGACCTTCATAGGTGCTCGCTAACGGCACTTTCCCCAACAGTCTGTGCAGGCCATACGGGGGTCGCGCGTGTTGGCAGCACAGTGGGGAGCGGTAGCGTAGTGGCTTAGCGCACTGAGCTTACCAACCCGCAACCCGAGTTGGACCCAGGCACTGGCTAAGATAATTGGCGATTATCCGCCTGGACCTCTCCTTGCGAGACTTATATTACTGGTTCCGTGGATAAACATCAGCACTTGGGGACAGGAACGGCAGGGATTGGTACCGAGCACAGAGGGGAATAAAGTTGTTGTAGAAGACTATTTGGAGCTGAGTGGACTTGCGAATGACCGGTACCAGTAGTGTCAAAATGAGCCTCTGCTTGTGAAGGAAGCTTCTAGGCATTGAAGGCAGTCGCCCACCACCACCATCATCATCAACAGAGGACAGAGGAGCAAAGCTCACAACAACGAGCAGAGCGCCGGGCGGTTCAACGCAGCAATTTGGCAGTGGAGAGAACACATGCGACCCATCTGCGTGTCATCTCGATCAACCCATAACACCTGGGTCTGTCCGTCCCGCGACATCCTGCCAGCGAGCCTTCCCACAATTCACGTAGCTTCAAAGTGGGCTGAGCCAGTGCCGAGTTAAGTTAGTGCGTGGCCTGTAGCATATTTTGTTAAAACACAATTTTTTTTACTTGCATTGTAAAGTAATTATATTGTTTCATTTGCTATACAGCCACAAATCGCTAATCTTAAACACCCAGTCGTTCATAAAAGTTGCAGGCGGTATAGTACTATAGTCATAGAGCAAGTGCAGAATCACTGAACCGGAAATGATCGCTTGAAAGCATTTAGCGCGGGGCCCTTGAAAGTGCGGGGCCCGTAGCTACATGTGTAGCTACTTGTGCTACTGGGGTAATCCGGCACCGAGGTGAGTGGCACAAAGCGCCGTGGCGATGCCATCGTCACTTATCGGGGAACGAGTGGCCGCTACTGTGGCTACGGGTTGACCGACGAACACACCAAGGGGCTGTCAAGTTTTGTCGCTCCTCTTTGTTTAATCGAAGCGCTTAACAAGGAGAACAATTTCCTGCGGCTGTGGGAAATAATTAGCATTATTACTCCATTTGACAACGACAAAAACAGGGAATTCAGAGAATCCTGATTTTTTTTCATATATATTATCTAATTAGAGTCCGGTACGTTTTCTCAGTGTGTTTTGTAGAAATGTTGGTGTGCACTTGCTCGTTTAATTGAGGGGTTATTAGCTGGTGTAAGTAACCCATTCGTTATGCGTGGAACACAAATAATCCGCTGTTGAGTAAAACAGACCTCCTCGCTTACACTTTTTTAATTCTTCGTCTTCCCAGACGAGAGCTCATAAAGAAGCAAAGTCTCTCGCAAGAAATCCTTGGGGTAAAAGCAGCGACGAACAGCAACAATGGAATAATAATATAGGGTTTTTGCCTTTTTTCTGGCAACAAAACTGAAACCTTTTTACAAGGATTCATGTCTGCATTAACCACAATACTTGCATTCAAAATGCAAACAAAAAACACACTATGATAATATATGCAGTGTCCTTAAAAACGGATTGGTCCACACCAAGGGACGGCTTTCTTTTGAGCCGCGGCACAATTGGTGCTCGACCAGAGGACGCCAAAAGGCGTACGAAAAAAAAGAAAAACCCTATTATTATTTTGATACTGGCAAAGGAGGTCTAATGATGAAGCAACACTGGAATTGAGACAAAGCTATCGGTGTAAGAATATAGATTTTTTTTTAAACATCGTGGGGGGGAATTTTTTTTATTGTAGTGTACACCGTACATGCTAACCACACGCAAATAAGATTTGCAATGGTGGGAATTTTCAC